GCGTCTTTTGCCGTTCCGTCTGTATCCTACTGAGTGCGGGCGATTCCTTTCCCCATCTGACGGACACGCTTGCTGTGTTCAGTGTTTGGATTGTGCCCACGATGAAGCAGCATGTGTGGGTGGCTCATGCTCTCACTCTCTTATGTCTTAAAAAAAAACCAGAGCCTTCACAGCTGCTTCCGGTCCTGGTCCTTCTACCTACGTAGGCCTCGTTGGCGGCGAGCACTGAGGACGATCTGGGGGGCAAAATGGCAGTGTTTCGCTGGGTAAATCCCCGCAAACCTCCAATTCCCCAGCACGCTCAGTTCCTGCGGTTGAGTTCCTGGATGTGTTTCCCCCAGTGAGCCTCATCGCGCACACTCTGTGCAAGGTAAGGGAGGATGAGGAACAAGTCCTAATGGTTGCACCTTACTGGCCCAACTAGACTTCCTCCACGTCTGGTCCCTGGACGGGACGAGGAGGAACTCAGGGGACTATCACCAGCAGTGATAGATACCATCTCTCAGGCTAGAGCTGAGAGCTCTACGCCCTGAAGTGGCACATTTTCACTGCATGGTGTTCCTCCGGAGGTGAGGACCCATGGAGATGTGGCCTCGGGTCAGTGCTTTCCTTCCTACAGCAGGGCCTCAAGAGGCACCTGTCTGCCTCCACTTTGAAAGTGTACGTGGCTGCAATAGCAGCTTACCACGACACTATGGATGGCAGGTCTTTAGGAAAGCACAACCCGATAGTTAGGTTCCTGAGAAGAGCTCGGAGGTTGAATCCCCCGAGACCACACCTCATCCCCTCTTGGGATCTTTCTCTGGTCCTGCAGGTCCTGCAGAAAGATCCGTTTAAGCCCTTGCAATCAGTGGACCTTAGTGCCCTCTTTATGAAGATGGCCCTCCTGATTGCGCTCACATCGCTAAAGAGGGTGGGGAACCTACAAGCCCTCTCAGTTAGTGATGTGCCTGGAATTCGGGCCGGCCTACTCTCACTGAGACCCCGGCCTGGATATGTGCCCAAAGTTCCCACTACCAAGCGGTGAACCTGCAAGCATTCCCTCCTGATGATGGTAACCCAGCCTTGTCCCTGTTGTGCGCGCTTTGCGCATATATCTGGACCCAACACAGAGTTTTACACAATCTGAACAGCCCTTTGTCTGCTTTGGCGGACAGCAGCAGAAGAAGAAGGCTGTCTCCTAACAGAGAATGGTCCAATGGATTGTGGAAGTCATTCTCTAGGCGTATCAGGCCCAAGGTGTGCCGTGCCCGCTGGGAGTGAGAGCTCACTCCACTCGCAGTGTCGCTGCCACTTCGGCCTTGGCACACAGTGCATCGCTTGCAGACATATGCAGAGCTGCGGGCTTGGCTACACCCTACACCTTCGTGAGATTCTATAATCTCTGAATGGAGCCAGTTTTATCTTGAGGTTTTTGGTGATACCAGATAAGTCTTGACAAACTGGCTGGGAGTAGTGCTTGCATTAGCGCCTTCCCCTTCTCCGAGGTGATAACGTGCGCTCTTCTAGCACCCTTGCGAAAGTTGAATTCGGCGGAGGTAGGTCTCTGGTTATCTTACTGACTGGCCATTGGGCTCTGGGAAGTTGAGAGTCTGCAATCAATACAACCTGATCAACTGCCAAGTTTGGTGTGATGTTCTGCCATTTCTGTCAAAGCTGAAGACTGGCTCTGTATTTTCTAAGGAACTGGGTCCAGAAGACTTGGCTGTGTCTGTATCAACGCCTCTCCTTGCTATGAAGCGTCTAAGGGCCAACAAAAAGGAATCTGCATCCATGCTGCATAACAAGTAGAGAAGTATGCATCTTGTAGTGATACATTTAAATATTATCTCTTTTCTTGCCGTCTGCCAATTCTGCCAATGTAGGGACCAAAACAATTAACTCCCGTGGACCAGAAATGATGATGGTCAATCCTCAGACGTGAGAGATACGAGACCGGTGCGTCGCGCAGGTGTCGCTCATTATCAATCACGCCATCGGCCTCATGCCATTCTCTCACTGCCCTCGGCCTCGTCCTGCTCGCCACAGGAACGTTGCCAGCCCACTGTCAAAGCCACCAGTTGCCAACAATGGTCTCATTTTGTCAATGAGATTCTTAGCCTGATGCTGAGACTGCAAGCAATTGTCCACATAGAAAGACTGCTGGATGGACTCAACTACATCTTCATTGCCCTCACTGTTATCTCTGACATGTCTCTGGAGGGCATATGTAGTGCATCCTGGATTAAAGGTGGTTCCAAATGGTAACACTCGCCATTCATATATGTCTGGGGTCCGATCTCTTTCCATGTCTCTCCAGAGAAAGCGGAGCAGTGGAAGGTCTTCAGGTAGCAGTCTGATCTGCTGAAACATGTCTCCACTAATGGCAACGCCATAGTCCTGAGTAGGACTCCCAACAGTGGTGGACTTAAGGTGTAGATTATTGTTTAGGCTCATTTGCTTGTAAGTGAAAGAGCAGGTAGCACCATCAACTGTAACACATATAGTTTTCTCCTCCAACATGGCAAGTGCAGCTTTACCCTGTATGGAGCAAACTACTTATTTCTCATTTCTTGGTGGAAATATGTTAAGCTGCCACTACCGCTCAGCATGTTGACTTAACTCTTGCATAGGAGAAAGGAATGTGGTGTGGAGGCATGAGCTTACATTTGAGGTTGCTAGAGAAAGATTGTTGGCCCTTAAATTGTACAGACAAGCAGTATGTGTACCGCTATAGGCCTGCCAAGCGGACCCATACAGATTGCGCAGTTTGGTGTGATCACCTGAGGATAATCCGATCCAATGAGTAGCAAAGGTTTGCTGCACTTTAGCGAACTCTAGCAAGGGGATGTCCCTGAGGTGTCCATGTTTTACACTTAGGTGTGACAGTGCAGATACCTCAAAGGAGAATGTGGTTCCTCTCAGCTGAACAAGTTTGTGTCTTATTGTTTGAAGTGTTGGACTGTTGGAGTGGTTGGACTGTTGGCTGTAGGTTATTCGCTGCCAGTGAGAATCATGGCAGACTTGGTTTGGGATGAGAAAGAGTTTTCTGTTCTTGTCGAAAGGGTTCTGTATGCACTGGCCCTGTTACACGTTGAGATATCTGAATGGCCTCAGCCTTCCTTTCCATCCACTCAGCAAATTCTGCCAATGTGTAAGTCCTGGAACTGCTGGTTGAGACCGTACTGTATGAATGAGTCTCTGTAGCTGACAGGCAGTTTGGTCAGTAGAGTGTCAACTTGGGAGCCACATTGCAAGAAATCACTCTCTTTCCCTGGTGAGAAGACTGCCAGCTTTGGTTTGGGTATGCCATAGGAGGACGCAAAGACCATTTCCATCAGTCCAGGTACCACAGGATTGACAGGATAACAATTCTGTGGTTGTGGTCCAGGCCAAGGAGTTGGTGGCAGAGGTAGTGGTTAATAAGGGTGTTGAGGATCCATCGCTGATTACGCTGGTACAGGCTGAACTGGGGCTGGCACCGTCTGCTGGTACTGTTGCTGCTGTGAGGCTGGCGCAAATTGTACAGCAACTAACTGACATTGGGGTTGCACATAAGAATGTGAACTGTACAGCAGCTAATTGATACAGTGGCTGCATGCGGGCTGGTGCAGGCTGCACTGGAGTCGGCTGATGCTGTGGCTGTACCTGAGGATAGGCAGGTTGAACAGGCTGAGCAACTGTGGGGGGGCATGAGTCTGATCGTCAGAGTTCAGCAAGGCCTCTGAGGCTGTAACCCTGGCAGTGAAGATACACTAGCTATATTAGGTGGCTGTATGATTGGTTGCGGTTGCTGCTGCTGATGCTGCATAGAGGACTCGTGGTAAAGTGTTTCCTCATATTGTGGGGATGGTGCCACAGTCACAGAGGGTTCTAATTCAGTGTTACTTAGTTCAATCTGAGGAAGACTCTTAGTGTCCAATAGCAGGAGATCTAGATGCAAAAGAAGCCTGTCTAGCACTGACCATTCTTACAGTATTTGAAGCTCTCTCATCTCACAGCTTAAATCTCTCTACCGGGCCTCTAAGTGATGCAGCTTTTCACTTTCAAAGTTTCTGTCCCTAGGAGCAGGAGTAATATAGCCCCTAATAGGTTTGCATGAGATATTTCCTCGAGCACCATCTGCTGGTGAAGGATGACCATGCCGGGGAGGTGGATAATCAAGCACATAATCCTCCAAGTAAGTGGGCACCTGCCGGGTACGACTTGGACATGGATCTGGCACATTGTTCTACCTCGTAGTAATCTCTGGATGTAGCCATAGCGGAGCTGATGTCCCGATCCGGCTCGAAAGACCAACTTGTGGGATATTCTGCACGTATTTGGATGGTTGGCAACTCAACTGGTCTGGACGGTTGGATGGTTGGATGGATGGCAATTCAACTGGCCTAATTCTTCGGTTAGAAAGAACTGCAGCTACTCCAGAGTGAATGTGGCCGATCTAAAAGTTTTATTAGGCCATAACATTCCAAGGCATAGACAGGTTTGCGTGGATATTCACATACATGTGGTTTGGAGTTATTAATGCACAGCAATACCACACAAGGAAAAACTGACTTTTAAGCAATGAACAAATAAGCCAGCAAACTCCATATAACTCTGCTACTGGACACTGCCGAAATGAAACTTTCTGCACATTCACCAGACAAGTCTGAACAAGTTTGACTTGCGCATGCGTGTGGAAGGGAATTTTGTACAACATCAGTAATGGTTTTTTTCTAAGGCATGTTTATAAAAGATCCTTAAATGCCCTAATTGAACTAAGGCCTAATCCCGGCTTAATCTAAACCCTGTCTGTGAAACAAGATATTGTTTATGACAATATTCCTTACAAACTTTCATTCCATATATCTATCTATATCTATATACGTATATATACATTCTGTCAATGAACTGCCTATTACTTCTGCACATGTGGTGGACCATAGTAGAGAGTAGTTGAGAGGTGCTGAACACTGATGATCTGGACTTGTTCTTGTAGCTGCCTGCTGGCTGGCACATGGAGCTGGACTGGAGGGAATCCCAAGAAAGACTGCTCTATCCCCTTGGGGAATTCTGAATAGAGTGGAATTCATCCATTCATTTCAGGCAAAGGGCCCCAGGCAACATTATGTTGCTTTGGTTTATCCCAGAATCTTTGGTTATTGCCTCCTCCTTATGGTAGCTTCCAAGCAACCCCTCCTCCTTGTGCTCTGCTGACAGTGGCTCAGCATCGCTTGAAACAAAGACATGAAAATGACAAGATACATCAGTAATCTTGGCCACTGTATCCTGGTTTAATTGTGCTCTAGTTTTCCTGACTGTGGAAAGAGAGAGGCAAATGATCCCCCAGGAGGCAATGAATGGAACTCAACAATGCAGGAATGCAAGCCTGTGTGTGTGTGTGTGTGTGTGTGTGTGTGTGTGTGTGTGTGTGTGTGTGTGTGTGTGTGCGTGTGTGTGTGTGTGTGTGTGTGTGTGTGTGTGTGTGTGTGTGTGTGTGTGTGTGTGTGTGTGTGTGTGTGTGTGTGTGTGCGTGTGTGTGTGTGTGCACCAGACAGTGTGTATTTTTGTTGGTGTGCATATGTCTGTGTTTGAGTGAACAACAGGAGCGAGATTTGGAAGCCGATTTCCAGTTCCTATAGCAACCATGATGTAAGCGGAGAGGGGCAACTGCGCCCCATTTCTCTCTATCTCTCCCCCTCACTCTCCCTTTCTCTCCCTCTCCCCCTCGAAAAAACAGACAGCCCTGCACATAGGAAGCCTGGGTGTAGAAGATAGGGAAGTCATCCTCATTTTTGCTGGAATATAAGGCATTTTTTCTTGAATTTATTTTCTTTTTATGTTAGAGAAGATTCGAACGCTGTTCAGTAACATGTACGTTTCAATCTTGGGAGAGAAAGGTCTGCTTGACATGTCTGCCAAGAAAATTATTCAGTGCCAGAGGCAGTGTCAATTGGTGTATGGCTATTCTCAGATGAAGTCCCTGTAGAGAGCGCCTTTGTGAACTTTATTGCTTTTGGATTTTTTGAAAAGGATAAAACTGTAAGTCATTTTAAAACTTTGTTATATGTGAAATATGTCATGTTTAAATACTGCATTTATAATAAAATCTCTAAATTGTTCTATGTGGTTACATGTTATATTTTTTGTTACTTTTTATAATTTATTATTATTTTTTGTTAGATTAAACTATTTAATATTATTCTTTTGTGCAACTTCTAACACCTGGAACAAACTGAAATAAAATGTGTTTTTAATTTAAATTGTTCACTCATTCCAACTTTGCTGGACTGCAGCTTATGCATCATGCTAACTCTAAAATAAGTTATTATCCCAGACCTTTTTCACACATTAGTGAACAAATTTTTCAGAAATTGAGAAAAAGTTGATACGTTTAAACGTGTCTCATAATCTCAGTATAGATTTTAGTATATATTTACATTATTTTGGGTAAACCTCAAACGTAACCACACTGGCTAAAATGGTTACTGACATCTTGATCAAGTTTATCGTGTTGTGAGATTGGTCACCATGTGCTTCAAAATAAGAGATCATTAGTCATTTCATTAAATGTTTCATCTTTTGCTCTGTATTCTTTTTTAAGGGTAAGTCCCAGTCACCTCTAATGAGGTCTGCCCTTTCACTGTGCTTAGTGACCCCAGAAGCAGCGGCATGGAGAACCGGCGCTGCCAGCTCCCTCAACAGCCCAATGCCCAGGCCCAAGAGGCCTCGACTGGGCCCCAGTCCTCCATGGCTCAGTCCCCTTTACTGTCAGGAGCCTCCTCCCTCATCTCACTTACCCAGACAGAGGAGTTCTTTGACCTGATAGCCAGTTCCCAGAGCCGCAGACTGGATGACCAGAGAGCCAGTATAGGGGACCGACTGGGCATCAGGATAGCACAGAACAATGTGGAACACTTGTGTGAGGCATGTAGTTCACACGAACCTAGTGACGAGTTTTTCAACATGGTCATAAAGTATCAGGTAACGATAGTAATTGAAATTCAATATCAAATACAAGATGTACAAATGTGTCCACTTACATTCCTCAGAATTCCTCTGTTTGCATGTTGTGAACTTTATCACCTCTCCCCTCCTCCAGTCCTCCAGAATCAATGATCAGAGGTGCTCTTTGCCCCCAGCGCCAGACCCAGATGAAGACTTCTTCAGCCTAATTCAGAGAGTGCAATCCAAACGAATGGATGAACAACGGGTTTCTTTTCACTCTGATGAAAAGGATGAAACAGACTTAAATCATAAGTCCAAAACCTCTGAGGGCTCAAGCTAGAGACTGTGGCATTTCTGATGTGACTTCCACAAAATTCTTCTGCAAACTCTGACTCTCTGGCTGCACATTTTGTGAGATCTTCCACAGATGGGGTTAGTTGGGAGTAATATAGATTTATTTTAATTAGTAGGATGTTGAATGTTTTCATATTTTTGCAGTCAATTTACCCTAAGGTCACGGTGAGTCCAAATGTGGCCTCGGGATGTGATTCAAAGGGAATGGAAACACTCACCTGTTTGTATGTTCCAATAATTGTTCTTTCACAAAAATGTTTGTGCAGATTTCAAGTAAAACAACACCATGGCAAATTATTAACACACTGATGCTTTCCAAGGATAATATTACTAACTGTCACACAACACAATATAAATCGGTGTGACAAACAAAGGCAGCGCATAATCCTCAAGCAGGTGTGTATTCATTTAACTCAAGTGGAAAGTGAGTTTCAGCATACACTGAATATGAATGTACTGATTCCCAACAGATGGGAGCAGTTATATTAAAGTTATATGGCTCATGTATCAGTTCATTCGGTGGTCTAATTCTGCTGATAAGTAATATAACTAATACTAATCGTAATAGATTTCCTTTAGAATATTTAAGACAGGCTAAATCCATCTTTAATATTAAAAGGTGCATAGTCTGTGAAAAGTGGATAGACTCATTTCAAGGTGCACTGTTTAACATGGATTTTTGTTTCATTGGAATAAAAATGATGTTTCAGTATGATTTCAGTATGTCTTTACATTTTTTATGGTTATTTTTACTACAGCAAAATCATAATGAATTAAGGATCTCCTCCTCAAAATCTTGGTGTTTACGAAATTAAGGAATTATTGATAATCTGCGCCACTAGTGGCACCAAAAGCAAACATATTCTGTTTATTTGAGCAGACATAAGACTGGTCTAACTTGTGAGTTTGGGGTGGGTTTATTTTCATTTGAAGCTTGTTTGAAAACAGTAATTTTTGTACGGAGCCCTGCACATGAAAAGAAAAATTATTTGTGGCCACATTTTATTAATTATTCCCCTTAGTTGAATCGTTCTTTTTAAAGGGATAGTTCACCCAAACAAATATTCTGTCATCATTTACACACCCTTGAGTTGTTCTAAACCTGTATGTGTTTCTTTGTTCTGTTAAACACAAAAGAAGATATTTTGAACAATGTTGGTAACCGTTGCTAGCCCCCATTGACTTCCATAGAAAAAAATATAGGCCTACTATGAAAGTCATTGGGGGGCAGCAACTGTTTGGTTACCAAAATCCTTCAAAATATCTTGTGCTCAACAGAAGAAAGAAACTCATACAGATTTAGAACAACTTGAGGGTAAAGAGCCCCTAATGGGGGGGAACGCAAAACATTTGCGAGAGAACCCAAAAACGTTGACTTATTTTTCCTCCCATCTCATTTTTTTTCCCACCACCATGTCCCCTTAGGGGCTCCGTATGATGGTAAGTAGCCTAATGATAACAAAATTTTTTATTTTTGGGTCAACTATCCCTTTCATTCGTGGCCACATTGTTCGCACATCGTTCCATAATTTAGTTTAATTGTGGCCGCGATTTAACTCAAACCGAGGCAACGATTTAGTAAGCTACAACTTGGCCTACTACAAATAATTTGTTCCCTCTACTGATTCCCTCGGTTTAGGTAAATCGCGGGATTTACCTAAAACGAGAGAATCAGTAGAGGGAACAAATTCTTTGATGATTTCTCAATGTCATTATTTTTCACTTGTTTAAAGATTTAGCCTACTACTTCTCATAAATATAGGCTGGCCTATCCCAACAACATTGGTTTGTTTAAATTCCCCCAGTAGTCAATAATTGTATCCCTTAAAACTCACCTTTGATCACCAAAATTACATATTTAAATGTTTTTTTCCTGTGAAAAAAAAATTATTCATGCCTCAGGGTACATTTACATGTCAACGATATGCTTAAAACGTAGAAGTTTTTCCTTTGAGTTTTCTGCATACAGACGACGCAATTTTCAAAACGATCCCCATTCACAAGGATCTGCGAAAACGACTAAAAACGCTGTATTCTGCTGCCATTAGATGGGGATGAAACACTATAGATTGAACACGTAATACGCATGTGCATGACGTCATCATTTTCAGAGATTCGCATTTTCGTTGCTTACACAGAGACCGTTTTCGAAAACTTGCACTTTGAAACCCCTTTTCAAAAGAAACCGCTCCGATATCTCCGCCTCGCTGCGCTCGGTGGACGGAGCCGCCAAAAAAGGTTATTCAGCCATGCCGCCCGTTGAGGACTTGGTCGCCGCCCACCTCTGCCCGCCCTCTGCTAGATGGCGCTCTTCCCCCACGCTTCCTTCGAAAGCTTGCAGAGCGACCTCGAGCTTTCATGCTCGCGCCTATGCCGCCGCCGGTCAGGCCGCCGCGGCGCTGCATTCTATGTCTGTCCTCCAAGTGCTACAGAGCGATATTCTCCGTGAGTGGGCCGAGAGCGGTAGAACCCCCCCCTCCGCTGTCACGGATCTGAGAAGTGCTACGGACCTCGCCCTTCGCGCCACTAAAGCCGCCGCACAAGCTCTGGGGAGATGCATGGCCAGCCTTTGTGTATCCAAGAGACACTTATGGCTCACGCTCGCCGACATGGGAGATTCTGAGCGCGCCGCGTTTCTTAACGCGCCCCTCTCCCCGACGGGCCTTTTTGGATCTGCTGTCACGGGGATCGTCGATCGCTTTTCCGAGGTCCAGAAAGCCACTCAGGCCATGAATTTGTTTCTGCCCCGCCGCGCTAGCTCTTCCGCAGGCCGCTCTCGCGAGCCTCCTGCCAGAGCCCCACCACAGCGCCCTCCTCCGCAGACTCAAACAGCCCAGCGCAGACAGGGCGGCCGCCCTCGCTCTCGCTCTGACAGCCGCCGCAGACCGCCGCCCCCACGGGGTCCGCGACCCAAGATCACGCTGAAGCCTCATCATCAGAAGTCTGCCTAGCACAGTTAAGAAAACGACGGCGCTCTCCCGCTGCGGCCGGACCGCCGTCAAAGCTTCACCCTCTGCCAGTCCCCGTTGTTTCGCCGACTGCTGTAGTGTTTACCGCCACAAACAAGCCGGTGTCCCAGCCCACTTTCGCGGGACAAAAAGCCGTTTTTACGGCTACCCAGAGAAATCTCAAAAAGAGAAAATATGCCAGTTGTGTAGAAAATGTGCCCACAATCATGTGTTCACCCATACACACAAGCATAACATATCCCGTGTCTCTCTCAGAGCCCCCCCACATGAAGCGGGCACAGCCCGCTCTAGTATCAGAGAACATAAACACGCCCACGAGCTCATGCGCGTGTCCCCTCTCTGCTCGCTCTGTTTCACGGCCCATAGACTCCTCTCTGAGTGTAAGTCCCGTTGCCACACACATTCAAAGCGCGCCCACACACTGTGTCCAGCCCGCTATGTGCAGCAATCAGGGCGATATAGCCATTCGGCCACTAGCCGCATGCTCCAAAGCGTGGGAAGCCATTCCAGGCATTTCCCCGTGGGTGCTAAGCATTATAAAGAACGGCTATCTGCTACAGTTTCGCCGCCGCCCGCCTCGTTCGCGCGCTCGGCTCGAATCTACTGTCAGCCCGCTGGCCGCCAACACGCTCCGCTCAGAAATTGCGACGCTGTTGCAAAAGGGCGCTATAGAGAGAGTCCCGCCATCTATGACCGAGTCGGGGTTTTACGGCCATTATTTTCTGGTTCCCAAGAAAGACGGCGGCCTCAGACCGATTTTAGATCTCAGGTTTTTGAACAAAGTGCTCATGAAGAGACCGTTCAAGATGCTCACTATCAGGAAACTCCTCGCGCAGGTGCGCCAGGGGGACTGGTTCATCTCTCTAGCCCTGAAAGACGCCTATTTTCAGATCCAGATAAATCCCCGTCACAGGCCATTCTTACGTTTCGCCTTCGAGGGTCATGTTTATCAATACGCCGTTCTCCCGTTCGGCTTATCCCTGGCGCCCCGTACCTTCACGAAGTGTATGGATACGGCGCTCGCCCCCCTGCGGAGCCAGGGGCTGCGCATATTGAATTATCTGGACGACTGGCTGATTTTGGCTCAATCACGGACGGAGCTTCTGTCGCACCGCGCAGTTCTCCTCGACCATCTGAAAACGCTGGGCCTCTCTGTCAACTGGACAAAGAGCTCCCTTCAACCCAGTCAATCGATTTCCTTCCTAGGAATAGATTTGAACTCGGTCACAATGTCGGCTCGCCTGTCTACACAGCGCGCGCGCAGTGTTCAGCGACTAGCCGCCTCTTTTCAGATGGGCACCCGCACACCTCTGAAAACTTTTCAGAGGATGCTGGGCTACATGGCCTCAGCCTCCGCTGTGCTTCAGCTGGGCCTTCTGCACATGCGCCCGCTTCAGCTCTGGTTAAAAAGCCGTGTACCCCACCGCGCGTGGAACACGGGCCGCCAGCTGATCAGGGTTACGCAGACATGTCTCACGGCACTGCAGCCATGGACAGTAGCAGAATGGTTTCGGCGAGGCGTCACGATGGGGACCTTTTCCCGCCGAAAGGTCATCTCGACAGACGCATCCAACACGGGTTGGGGTGCGGTCTGCGAGGGCTCACCGGCCTTCGGCCATTGGTCGACTCAGGAAAGCCCCTTGCACATAAACTGTCTGGAAATGCTTGCGGTCGAGAACGCGCTCTCACGCTTCCTCCCGCTCATTCGGGGACACCACGTCCTGATCCGTTCAGACAACATGGCTGTGGTCTCCTATCTCAACCGTCAGGGCGGTGTCAGATCCAGGAATCTCTTCCTGCTGACACACCGCATTCTAGTTTGGTCTCAGAGCCGCCTGCTCTCGCTCAGAGCGACGCATGTGCCGGGCCATCTGAACGACGGTCCAGACATACTGTCCAGGAACCTCATCTCCACAGGAGAATGGTCCCTGAACACACAAACGGTCCAAATACTGTGGCGGCTATTCGGCAGAGCAGAAGTGGACCACTTCGCGTCAGAGGAGAACGCTCACTGCCCAATATTTTTTTCAAGGAGCGAGGACGCGCTAGCCCAGGAATGGCCTCGCCGCCCGCTTTATGCATTCCCTCCGATCGCTCTGCTACCGCAGGTAATTCAGAGGATCAGGGACACACGCCACTCGGTGCTCCTCATAGCCCCGCGCTGGGAGAGTCAGACTTGGGTTCCGGAGCTCACGCAGCTGTCACAGACAGCCCCGTGGCCCATCCCAGTCAGAGCAGATCTCCTCTCTCAAGCTCGCGGCACGATCTGGCACCCCCATCCACAGCGCTGGGCGCTCCATGCATGGGTGATCAACGACTATTCGTCGATTTGCCAGAGGGAGTAAGAAACACTATCATACAGGCTAGAGCACCTTCCACGAGAAGGCTCTATGCGTCTAAATGGTCTGTGTTCTCAAAATGGTGCACCGACAAAAATCTGGACCCACGGTCGTGCGAGGTGCCGTCTTTGCTTGTTTTCCTTCAAGAGATGCTGGACAAGGGCAGGTCCCCCTCCACTCTCAAGGTTTACGTGGCAGCCGTCGCGGCGTTCACTGAACCCCGACGCGCTCAGTCCCTGGGCAAAGACAGGTTAGTCATCCGCTTCCTCAGGGGAGCTAAGAGGATGAACCCTCCGCGCCCCCATTCGGTTCCTATCTGGGATCTTTCTATAGTTCTCGAAGCTATGAAAGCACCCCCGTTCGAACCGCTCGAGTCTGTGGACCTAAAATACCTCTCGCTCAAAACCGTTTTTCTGACGGCTCTGTCCTCAGTAAAACGCGTGGGGGCTCTTTACGCGCTCTCATCCAGCGCCGCGTGTCTTGAGTTTGGACCGAATGATTCTGTCGTCATTCTCAAACCTAGGCATGGCTATGTCCCGAAGGCGATTGGTACCCCGTTCAGGGCTCAGATTATTTCCCTATCAGCTCTACCTTCATCCGATAGTGAGCGCGACGCCAATCTCCTCTGCCCGGTGCGGGCCCTGAGATTGTACACTACGCGCGCTGCCGCGTTCAGACGCGCTGACCAGCTTTTCGTGTCGTTTGGGGGGCGCACCAAGGGTCTGGCCGCCTCAAAACAGACGCTGTCTAGATGGATAGTGGACGCGATTGCCTCTGCTTACGCATCTAAATGCCTGCCCTGCCCTCTGGGCATCAGGGCTCACTCCACTAGAGGCATGGCCTCATCGTGGGCATGGTCCTGTGGAATTTCCATTCATGACATTTGTGTGGCCGCGGGATGGGCCTCCCCGTCCACCTTTGTCAGATTTTACAACTTGGAAGTTCCCGCCTTGCAGGCAAAAGTACTAGCCGTCTAACGATCAGCTCCCTAAGAAGCTGCATTACTGGGAGTCCCTCACACAACCGGTTCGCCCCTTGTGCTCCCCTTAGATGCTTATGTATACACTTCATGTGCCCGCTCTGCCGGCCTCATATTACATTCACTCCACGTTAAGAATCCCCCGGTATCTCCCCGGGATTCATGAGTGGATTCATAGCGCGCACGGCGTTGACCAGGTGTTCCCGCAGCGTAAGCTAGCTTACGCAATACGAGAGAACCTCTCGTAAGAGAACGAATCGGTTACCTAACGTAACCTCGGTTCTCTCTAGATGAGGGAACGAGTATTGCGTTCCCGGCCGTGCTTGCGCTACTAGCGTTTCGCTTCACGCTGAAATAAATCAACATATAAGCCTGGGAGAGACTGTTATATACACCATAGCCACGCCCATTCTGGCGGGCCATGACGCAATGAGCGCGCGGGCGCTTCTCATTGGCAGCGGGTTCAGCCCCGCTCTCCCATAGGCTTAAGCAGTTCTCTCTGAGCGAACCAATGAGCCGCTAGCTAGCCTGCTCAAGGTCTGCCGCAGAGGAACTGCGTTGTCAATGGATACAAATTATGAAATAATTTTTTGGCTACAAATTCTCAGCAAAGATGAATCTTTCCCGCAGCGTAAGCTAGCTTACGCAATACTCGTTCCCTCATCTAGAGAGAACCGAGGTTACGTTAGGTAACCGATTCGTTTTAAGGAGAAAATACTCAACAGTTGTGTTGACTTATGAATTTGCACATGTTTTGTAGCATATTAAAAACACCACATAGACATAGCCTAAACAACATTAAAAACTTGATTTTCACCACAGGGGATTTTTAAATAATCAGGAAGCTTTAAAAAAACTAACTTTGCTGGGTTAAGCTATATTTTATCAAATTAGATTAAAAAAAAGTATCTCATCAAACACATTGAGAAAAAAATTTGTTATTGTGGCATCTGATAACCCTTTTTTGTACTGCGGTAGCCTATAGCTACAAAGATGGACTACTCGATATCGATTATTAGACCATTACTCGCGACTACGCGGCGTTGCTAAGTGTCACTTTGAGTTCAGCATGAGTGTGACTAATGTTGAATAGAAACACATCGCCGGAGGTCATCGGCGTCAAAGCAGCGGAGAACAGCTCGATGGGATGGTGCAACACAGCACAGCTGCTCTGAGGGTTAAACGCAACAGATAAGCAGATAGACAAGACACAGCTGCTGCTCTACTGACTTACAAACGCTGTTCTGGATAACCGGAAAGAATGAACACAAACGACGCGAAGGATTACCTCTCCAAACGACAGATCCCACACCTTTTTGAGGTAAGGATCACCCAGAAGAGAAGCATTGTTATATTAATATAGCATTAATAATATTATTATAGCAAATAACACATCTGGAAACATCTGCGTGTCTGAAATCTGATTATCAAGGTGACTGTAGGCTCAGAGTTCTTCAGAGAATATGATAAATTATATATCTAGTATTAGGCTACCTATTTCTACTGTCAACACTCTTTCCATCAAGAATCTATTGGGAAACTGGCCTCACTAAAGATGAACATCATTAATCAAAAACTCTGTGTCTATTTAGAATGCACAATTACATGGCAAATTAGATAGCCTACTTGAAAGTGTCACTATGGTGATCCTCAAGTAGGGTGCTGTAATGGCAAAGCAGAGTGTCTCAAGATTGTCAGAAAGAGGGAAGATTCTCCTCAGACAGCATCAACAAGTGCTTGTGTGGGAGATATGTAGTTGCATACAAAATACTGTGTCCATGGAGGATCATTGCACACACTTCTGGCAAGCTTTCCATCTCCAAATTGATACTACATATAATGAAGCACAATATATGCAGGGCAGAAAGAGTGAAGGTTGTAAACATGAGTTTCAGAACATCAACACTTTTGGCTGTCACCAAGGCAACAAGCTATACTTTATATTTACTTGTGACTTGGGAAATGTGGGCAATGGAGAGCGAAGGACTGAAACAGTCCTGTTTTTGCATGTGCCCGAACACGCAGCTCACTGGGGAATGCAAACATGCAGGTTTAAGTTCATGTGCATACCTCTAGATATACATCTCTGAAACTCCTCCATCTGTGACCGAATGCACATAAAGATATGGCATATAGACAGTGCAAGGATTTAGAAAGGTGGAAGTAAAGTAGTTAACTTAATATTATTATTTAATTGTATTTAATTGGAAATTATTTAATTGTAACTAGTATTTAAACTTATCAAAGCTGCTGACATTGTTCTTTTTAAAGATTATTTTCCAATAAAATATGACTAAAATATATTGTTTCCCTGTATTGCTTTTTAACTTGATGGTAATAGTTTTTACTGTATGTCAGTCTATTAAACTTACTAAAGACTTACTAAAAAAAACGTTAACCTAAAATTAAACCTACATTTTTTTTGAAAACCAGACTTATTTTTATTGAACCAGACGAAATATACTGAATTAGACAAAATATATAAAAATATAAAACAAATGTGAGCCTGATATATCATATGAATAACAGTAGAATATGGAGCTCAAACACTGTAAAAAACAAAATCGCAAAAAAAGGTAAAATGACTGGCAGCAGTGGCTGCCAAACAAAAACTGTAAAATTAAAGTAAAATATCTTAATCCAAATAAAGTGCAAAAACAATAATTTTACAGAAATTATCATTAAAGGTTTTAGAGAAAAACACTTTTATTTATTTTTACAGATTTTTCCTGTAAAACATTTAGTAAAAATTACCTTCAACAGTGTTGCTCAAGATGGTAAATGGACAGTTTTATTTTGGAAGACAAAATAAAAAGTCTGTACAAATACTGTATAAAACAAAATGTAATAATTCTGTTTTTGAAGAAATGCAGTACAAATTTTAAATGAAATACGTTTCACATTTAAAATACTGTACTGATTAACAGTTTCATTAAAATGTAATAAAAGTTTAATGAAATATTCTCAACTTAAACTGAAATACAAAACTGATCAATCTTCAAGATTGTCACTGATTCAATCACACCATATTATCCTAAAACTGTTTTACTATTCAGATGTAAATTTATATTATCAACAAATTATTCTCAAAAAGTTCTTCAGAGCCCCCAACTGAAAAACTAAAAATGGCATTTCTAGCTATATGAGTTTAATTATAAGTAAAATCAAAACATACAACAAAAGGTCCATGATTCTGCACCAGAAGTGACAGACACAGCAGATAAAGAGCAATATTCCTCCAAATGGCTGGATCATTGGTGCATGCATGGGGTTTAAAAAAAAAGGGGGACCGACTGAAGTATTACTGCAGATGCCGAGCAGCAGCACATGCCCACTCCAACAGACGTATTCAAACTTGACCAAAAAAAGGCACGCAGAGTTTTCATTGGCCAGATTCCTGGATAGCGGTCAGATTAACCAATCACGCTCAAAGCAACACGGAGAGACAGCAAATAGCATTGCAGCTATACAAAAAATATATATTTGAAAGATTACAAATGCATATTTTTCTTTTTCTTTGAAGGCTGTTACATTTAATTAATTGGTCAAATGGTGTTTTCAGATATGCTTACAAGTTACAACCAGGGTTAGGTGCTTCTACATCTGTGCTATTCACTATTAACCTATCATTTCTCTCTGATACATGTCTTACTTGGCAAAATCACGGCAAATCTTATATGTGTGTGTGTGTGTGTGTGTGTGTGTGTGTGTGTGTGTGTGTGTGTGTGTGTGTGTGTGTGTGTGTACAGGTTTGGCTATACTTGTGACTTACAGTTACATTCACATGACCAGTAATGACCCTTTTGCATTTTAACAAATCCCTGACCTTTCATTCAGACCGCACTCTTATGCCTAAATGCCAGCTGTGCACACAACTGTGGCATTTTCTGCATCCGGCCCTTCACTGTATTGCAGTGTCACACAACCTGCTGGTTAATCCTCTGTCCACAGTAACACTTATATGCAAACACTGGCATAATTGCATACAAGTTACAACATTTGTCTACTGATTTTATTTAGAAGCATAGATACTTCAAGCTGTTGACTGCAGTGGTTAGGTCGTTATAGCATTCGTGAAATGGGACAATGTAAACTTAAAATGTTGAACTTCTCACCAGCATGATGGCTCAGTGGTTAATACTGTCACCTCACATCAAGATCTTTCCGCAATACAAAGACATGCACATTTGACAAAATGACAATTCTAAATATTTGAATGTGTGTTTTTCACAAATTGCATGCTGGGATACATTCCAGTACTTTCAGGCATACTTTTATGTTCTGCTTTTTCTAGTTTCAAATGTCTCAGTATAGGGTTTCTCTCACACACTTTTTATGCAGTAGGTAGTTCATAGTTTTTGGGCAGTTTCAGCTTGTAGATATGTGTGTATTTTCTCATCTCTATTCATTAATTTCTTCTGTAAAGCAATTTGGACGATCTGTTGAGTAGGCCTGAAAGTTTCATCCCAAAGAACAGTACAGCTTTGTACTCTTTAAAAACAGACGAGGTACAGGTTTGATGTAATAAAAAGTTTGCTATATTTGTATCCAGAAATACAGAGATTTAATGTAAAAATACACCTAATTATAAAACTAATAAGAAGGGGGACAGGGGGACAAAATAATCTCAATTTTATTCAGAGGCCCTGAGCAGAAGTATGCAATTTGGTGCAGTTGTGGAAATTTATATGGCCAAAAAATGAAGATGAAATGAGAGTTTGAGATCTTTAACTTAACATGGATATAAATCAGTAAATATAAGTTATCACTCTATATCTGTCACAGATCAGAAGGACACAAACAGGTAAAGTTAAACAGGATATTTATTTAATGGCACTTAGGAACAGTCACGGCAGGTAAGTTGAAATGAAGGAATTAATGTATGTGAACTGGATGAATGGAATATGACCGGGTCTCTTATCTGTTACAGGCAGGATGGCGAGGATCGAGGCAGAAGATGGCAGACAGGTTTGCAGACAAATGGACCGGAAAGTAGATCGGGATCTCAGGAGAGCAGGTAAGTATTCGAAGCAGGTAAAGTGGATTGAAGACTTGGGGATCGTCTTTAATGCAGAGAGTCAGGAAGTCGATGGCGTATCGACGAGACCAGACGTTGAACTGAGGGAACTGGTGGTGTATTTAAGGTGAGGGTGAAGTGAGTGCAGATTGCAAGCAGGTGATGAAGACAGGTGCAGGTGATCAGTATTCAGGGGATGCGGAACGAGTGAGCGGAGTTTGGAGGTCTGGTGCTGACGATTGTGTGTCCGTGACAAAGGGGTCGCTGATTTTCTTGCCTCGGCCTGGCTCTTGTGTCTATGAACAGCCCTCTGCAGATGAATGTGTGCTGAGTCCCAGACCCTCTCGCTCTCCTGGATCCAATGATGGACTGCTGGAACTTCGGATGGCTCTCCTGACCAGGGAAACAGGGGCGGCTGGAAGCCGAGAATGCCCTGAAAGGGCGTGAGGCCCATGGTGGATTGCTGGAGAGAGTTCTGTGCATACTCGGCCCAGGGTAGGTAGCGGCTCCAGCAGTCCTGGTGGTCATGGCAATATGACCGCAGGTATCTCCTGATTTCCTGTATCTTCCTCTCAGTCTGGCCATTGGACTGGGGATGATACCCAGAGGTGAGACTTACTGAAACCCCCAGGAGGTTGAAGAATGCTCTCCATGCCCTGGAGATGAACTGTGGACCACGATCTGATACAATGTCTTCAGGTATACCAAAATGTCTGAATATTTGGGAGAATAGTGTTTCAGCAGTCTCGAAGGCTGTGGGTAAACCAGGCCGAGGGATCAGTTTACATGCTTTTGAAAAGTGGTCAACGACAACCAGAACACAGGTGTGTGAGTCAGAGGAAGGGAGATCAGTGATGAAATCCACCCCGAGCTGGGACCAAGGCCTTGTGGGTACTGGAAGAGGTACAAGTTTGCCTTCCGGAAGGCGTCGCGGAACTTTGGCCATGGCACAGAATGAGCAGCTTTTCACGTACCGGGAGACACCCTGGGTCATATTGGGTCACCAGTAGAGTTGTTGTACGAGGGAGAGGGTTTGTTGGCTGCCTGGGTGTTCAGAGCCCGGAGATGTATGGACTGAGTCCATGAGGGACAGACGAAGACGTGATGGAACATAGGTCCGTCCCTCAGGACCTCCCGGCGGAGCAGGTTCTGATCGGGTGGCATCGACAATATGGTCGTCCAGACTCCACTGAATAGGGCTGACAATCAAGGCTGGAGGGAGGATGGGTTCTGGGTTGGAGGTGATGGAGTCAGGTTGATACAGACGGGAAAGGGAGTCAGTTTGATGTTTTCGTCTCCAGGGCGATATGTTACTTTGAAGTTGAACCGGGTGAAAAAGAGTGACCAGCATGCTTGACGGGTGTTGAGTCGTTTGGCATCTCTGAGGTATTCCAGGTTGCGGTGATCCGTGATGACATCAAAGCGGTGACATCAAACCAGATGTTCCCGGTTGCCGATGTCATAATTCTGCTCCGCCGGGTACAGTTTCTTGGAGAAGAAGGCACATGGATGGAGTCTGGGAGGCTTCCCCTGCCACTGTGAAAGGACCGCTCCTACTCCGGTGATAGAAGCGTCCATCTCGACAAGAAATGGATGATCTGGGTTTGGATGGACAAGAGTAGGAGCGGAGCTGAAGGATGCTTTGAGCTTCTCGAATTCATTGGTGGCTTCGGTGGTCCAGGACAGAGACTTGGCCCCTTTACCTAACAGAGAGGTGATGGGTGCACTGATTTGACTGAATCCTTTGATGAATCTTCGATAGAAGTTTGCGAAGCCCAAGAAGCGTTGAAGTTCCTTAACGTTGGTGGGTAATGGCCAGTTGGAAACAGCTTCCACCTTCCTCTGATCCATGGTAATTCCATGAGGAGTGATCACATAACCCAGGAACTGGATAGTCTCTTGATGAAACTCACATTTTTCCAGCTTCAGGAAGAGTTGATGATCGCGCAGACGTTGGAGGACTTGATTGACATGGTGGTGGTGCTCGGATAAACTGGAAGAATATATGAGGATATATAAATGATGACAAACTGTTGAAGGAAGTCCCTGAAGATCTCATTCATGAAGCCCTGGAAGACGGTGGGAGCGTTGGACAATCCGAAGGGCATGACCTTGTACTCATAGTGGCCAGCAGGGGTGATGAATGCCGTCTTCCACTCGTCTCCCTTCCGGATTCGCACCAAATTGTAGGCACTACGCAGGTCCAGTTTAGTAAATATCCGAGCACCACGTAGTTGTTCCAGAGCGGCTGGAACCAGAGGAAGGGGATACCGGTACTTGACTGTGGAGTTATTGAGGGTTCGGTAGTCTATACAGGGGCGCAAGCCTCCGTCCTTCTTACCGACGAAAAAGAAGCTGGAAGTGGCAGGGGACGTAGATGGACGGATGTAGTCTTGATGAAGAGCCTCGATGTACTCCTCCATGGCCTTCTGTTCCGGGATGGACAGCGGGTAGATCTTACCGCGTGGTAGAACAGCCCCAGGCAGCAGGTCGATCGCACAGTCCCATGGCCGATGTGGAGGAAGTTTTGTTGCCAGTTGTTTATTGAAGACATCCTGGGACGCCCGATAGGTGGCCGGTATCTCGTGTTGTTCACTGGTGCCTGGACTCTCGACTGAGGTGGAGCAGATTGTGACTTCACCGGAGTTGATGGGGAGCGATGAATTTTCTTGACAGAATATAAACAGTGTGAAAAGCAGTCTCTTCCCCATTGACATCTCACCCGATGTCCAACAGATGTTAGGCGAGTGGAGTTCCAGCCACGGGCGTCCCAGGATGATATCTGCTGTAGAGCCCTCCAGCACCAGAAATGACAGTTCCTCTTCATGAAGACCGCCGATTTTCAGAGTGATGGTGGGACTGCAGTGCCAGATTTACCCATGACCGAGCGGTTTTCCCAGGATGGACTGGATATGTAGAGTTTTTTTACGGGCTTGAAGTTTGTGGAGAGAGATGAAATTGCCACCGGAGCCGGAGTCAAATAACGCTTTCGCTGGAAGAGATCGTTGGAGGTAAGTTACCAGAAAAGGAGTGTATTTCATATGGGAAATAGGTGAAGGAAGTTTTACAGTACTCACCGTCGGTCGTGGGGGACGGACTGGACAGGTGATGAGATGATGACCGGCTGTTCCACAGTAGAGTCAGAGATTATTTGGTAATACGATGATTGCTGATAAATTAGTTGAACTAAGTTCCATGGGTTCTGGTGCTGAAGGGCTGGCAGAGAATGAAGGACGAGGAGGAGTCAGTGCAGGGCTATCGAGCTGGCAGGCGGTGCGACGTTGGTCTACTCGAATGGAACGTTGGATGAGGTTTTCTAGACCAATGACGCCATCGTAAATGGCGAGCTGTAAACGAATCTCATGGTTTAAACCTTGGCGAAAAGCGGTGATAAGTGCCAACTCATCCCATCCGCTGGAAGCTGCCAGAATGTGAAACTGCAATGCATATGTTGACACAGATGTTTGTCCTTGGCGTAAACGAAATAATTGTTCATGAACAGAAAGAGAGTTTGAGGCTTGTGAAAACACTTCACGGAAATGGCCGATGAAGTTAACGAGGGATTGAGTGACAATACCATTCACGTGCCCTCGAGATTTCACGTAGTGAAACTGCGCAAAGCTTCTGTGTTGCACGTCACACTATTGGCCGACGTTGGTCATGTGTGTGATGCGTGTGACGTACAAGCTAGAAGCTTTGCGCAGTTTCACTACGTGAAATCTCGAGGCCCACAGAGAAGGAAATGAATAGTTGAATAAAGTCGTTATTTTTGTTTGATTTTGCGCCCAAAAAGTATTCTCGTCGCTTGATAAACTTAAGATTGAGCCACTGTAGTCACTTGGACTATTTTAATGATGTCTTTAACTTTTATGGGCCGGCCAGTTTCGATCCCTTAAAAAGCCTATGGAGGAGTGATCCAGCTCTCAGATTTAATAAAAAAATATCTTAATTTGTGTTCCGAAGATGAACAAAAGTCTTACGGGGTTGGAACAACATGAGGGTGAGTAATTACTGACAGAATTTTCATTTTGGGGTGAACTAACCCTTTAAGGTGAGGGTGAAGTGAGTGCAGATTGCAAGCAGGTGATGAAGACAGGTGCAGGTGATCAGTATTCAGGGGATGCTGAACGAGTGGGCGGAGTGTGGAGGTCTGGTGCTGACGATTGTGTCCGTGACAATATCTCCCAATAATAAGTAGGCTGATATTTCAATTATGTAATTAAAGTTTTATGATCAAAGCTCTTTAATTATGTACAAATAACATTCCTCAATAGCCTGATTTATTTTTTCTAATAAAAAAAAAAACGATGTATGAATAATCAAGTAAAAAAAAAGAGTTGCTTTTAGTCCAGTAAGTGTTTGACTTGAAATATTACATACAATTTGTTCCTATACGTTTACTTAATAAAAATCAGTATAAATCTATTAGATGACAGAAGGCATGTACAGTGGTAAATTGTGTACAACAGTTTTTTCTGCAAATTTTGATCATGTTGATAATTTAGAGATTTTAGACATTTGCATATAAACTATGATACAGTATGCTTTAGGGTTCATTTTAAATTAATTATTTTTATATCAGAAATATTATTTAACGTCATTGAGTCAACCAAAATACATTAGGTTACTGCAACAAAATTAAACGTTTATAAATTAAGAAGGTGACAATTGCAGGTTGCTACTTTTTACAGTGAAGCTTAGTTTGTTTGTAATGCTCTTTATCCGTATGGATACTGCATTAGTCCTTAAAAATGCTGCGGTCTGTTATTAAACGGATACCTTTAGCAAATTCAGCCTTTTGTTTCGTTTCTTTTTAGACACTGTTCCTTTATTCAGCAGTTGAATGTGTCTTTAGCCGTTTGATACCCGTGAGGATTGAGATGTAAATTCACAAGCAGTTTTATTTGCATCAAAAGAAGCAAACAGCTGATTATTTAGAGCTCAGATTTTCCATTTCCTGTCCCTCTGAATGGTCCGGAGTTCGAACTGCTAACACGTGTGGGATGAATAGAACAACAATTTGCAATTATTATTTTCTCCCACCTAGATTGTTATTCATTGTTTCCCTCTGTCTTTCCATCCAGAAATCGTTTAGCTGAGTTTGGCTAATAAACGAAAAATGTGCTCATATTCTTCTTCTTTTTTTAGGTGAAAAAAGCAAGGAAAGACTCTGATTGATATCTCAAAGGCCAAAATTGTCAGTGATACTGTATACAATTTTGACATGATGAAAGAACTCATTTACTCAAATAGATGTACTGGAATTGTACACTTTACAAGAAATACAGATTCATATTTGTGAAACACTCATGTCAATTAAGCATTTCATATAACAAAATGATATGAACTCTGTGTGTGTGTATCTCACAGAGCATGTTAACAGGGCTGATGTACCACAGGCCTGAGGACCCTTTGGCATTCTTGGAGAGTTGCCTGCAGAAAACACGTGACCTCGGCGGTCCTGAATGTGTGGCCTGGGACACTTTCATTACACCTGATCGAAAACCTCTACCACCAATCACCCCAGCACAGGGGAAGAAAGCCCCCTGCAAACTCGGTAATTTAGCTAGAAAAATTAATCTTAGCTAGAAATAAAACAGTTAGTTGTGTACATGATGGATATACATTATGGATATACTTTAAAATGACACTTGCATTTTAGTTTCATTGACTTTTTTAGCAGTTCTTTCATTTTACTGAATTATACATTGAACAATGTTTTTTTTTTTGTGTGTGAAATTGTTATGCTTATTAATGCATTACTTGTTTGTTGTTTGCCTCTCTCTTTAAATCACAAAAATAACCACATTATCTAGATAAAAAGCCAGCAGTTAAGTAACCATTATTCAGGGATTTAAATCTGAAGGACGGAAAATGAAAACATTGCAAAGACATTTAGGAAGGTTAAAGATGGTTCAAGTGTTAAAATTACCCAAATATCTCAATAATGAATGTCTAAAAACACAGTATTGTGTGGATTCTTATCAAATGAGTGAATTAAAGGCCAATTCACACTGTACCAAGTTACAACAGACACTATCAATGCCGAAAGTCTTTGCAGTACGTAATTTCTCAGACATTCCAAGACCCGACAAACGCAGTGTTTGAATCGGCGACAGACTCCGACAGGGGTAACACACTGATCTGACAAAACCTGACAAAGTGTGTGCTGCTGTCTATCTGCGTTTGTCGGTGTGGTGTTTATTGGCCTTAAAAATGAATCTGAGGTCATATAGAACTGATAAATGTAATCTGTTTCATTCCACAGACAGTGGTCCTGGTCCTGGTCCTGGTCCCGGGCCTTACCGTCGATATGACAGGCTGCCACCAATCCAAGCCCAGTTCTCCATAGAAAGTGACTCAGATATGACTGAGTCCTCAGGGCTCATACAGGAGTATGATGTCTTTGACCCATCTAAACCACGACCGCACATCATATTCATCATAGGTGAGTGATCATCACTGTCAGCTGGTCATTTCTCATTTTCGGTCTGTTTCAGTCATCTTTTTCTGAATTCATCTCATTCTAAATTCCAACTCTATGAGCTGGATGAAATAAAATTCAATAGACATTGAATTAATTAATTTTAAATTAACATTTCCATTGTGCTGTTTTTGTGATGTAAAGTGGGATTTGCTATAATATTTTCCAGGTGGACCCGGCAGTGGGAAGGGCACTCAGACAACTAAAATTGCACATCGCTATGATTTCGAGCATGTGTCCGTAGGGGAAATTTTAAGGAACCAGTTGCTGCATCATGCCCCCAGTGACAGGAAATGGGAGCTGATTGCTCAGATCATTGCAAATGGAGAACTGGCACCTCAGGTTTGGAAATCTGACCACCAAACAATGTGAATTTTCGCAGCTATGGTGTATTCACAACTGCTTTGATTGTCAATGTTGATTTTTCATAAACTACCATTCAAAAGATTGGGATGAGTAAGATTTAAAAAATAATGTGTAAAAATAATAGTGACAGTAAATGCATTTATAATGTTACAAAAGTTTTATATTTCAAATAAATATGTATGCAGCACAGCTATTTTCAACATTAATATTAGTAATACATGTTTCTTCAGCACCAAATCAGCATATTTGAATGATTTCTGAAGGATCATGTGACACTGAAGACTGGAATGATTGCTGCTGAAAAATTAGCATTACATTATAAAATATATTGAAATAAAAACCAGTTATTTTAAATTGTAATTATATTTCACAATATTACTGTTTTACTGATTAAATAAATGTCTCAAACTTTTCAGTAGTTTATTTACAATATTAAATGAAGAAGGTCACCTCATGCTTAGTCTTGTTCTGACATGATATCCTTTAGGAGACGACTATTGAAGAGCTGAAACAACAGTTTATCAAGAAGCAGGATGCTAAAGGATTCATTGTGGATGGATTCCCCAGAGAGATCTCACAGACGTTCACCTTTGAGGAGCAGGTCAGATATTCCTTCAGATGGTCTATACCAAGGGTGTCCAAACCTGCTCTTGGAGTACACTGTCCTGCAGAGTTTATCTCCTGCTTGCCTCAATACACCTGCCTGGAAATTTCTAGTATGCCTATTGCCTAATAAGACCTTGATTTGCTAGTTCAGGTGTGTTTAAATGGGGTTGGAGCTAAACTCTGCAGAACAGTGGCCCTACAGGATCTATACAGTATATAACCTGCATAATACATGTCTTAGTATGTTATGGCAATGTCTGATGTACAGTAAATGACACTCATGGTTCCTCAGATCGGCTCTCCAGACTTGGTGATCTTGCTTGCCTGCTCTAATCAGCAACTCCGGCAGCGTTTAGAGAAAAGAGCGTCCCAGCAGGGCCGCCCCGACGACAATACTCGTGCAATTGAGAAGAGACTAGATACTTTCAAACACAATATCACACTCATAGCCAAGTACTACCAGGAGAGAGGACTTATTGTAAGGGTAAGATGCTGTTCTTTTCTTATTTTTATGTTAACTGTTGAATTCAGCTGGTTTTGAAAGCAAGTGCTTTTTAATAATAATAATAATCTCCAGTTTAAGGCTGTGAAACACAATTCTGTCTCACTCTGCTTGGTCAGGTCGATGCGGATCGAGAAGAAGACGATATTTTCACAGATATTTGTGCCATTGTAGAGGAAAGATTGTTCCCTTGTGACACGAATGCAGTAGGTTTTGAATGAAAGTTACACTATATTCTACAATTTGTTTTAAAATTTTGCTTTTGCTTCATAAAAGTTATTTTCTTCCTGCAGAGCAGTACTGAGGATCTTTAGAGGGACGTCTACACATCCAAACCCACAGTTGCTCCTATTAAATCCTAAATGTAATTTCAAAATTTTCCACTATTTTTCATCAATAATCTCGAGGGTCAGGATCAGTGAAAAGGGACACTTACACTTATTTGTTGCCTCTATTTGTATTTCACTGTGAATTTTCTCTGTACGTCTTTTGCAGTAATGACTTTAAAGCAGAGACCTTTGTTGTTTTGACCTGATTTTATTAATGTACACTACCGTTCAAAAGTTTGGGGTCGGTACGATTTTAAATACTTTTAAAAGAATTCTCTTCTGCTAACCATGGCTGCGCTTATTTGATTAAAAATACAACAAAAATCAGTTATAGTATTAAATATTATTCCAGTGTAAATCAGCTGTTTTCTGTGTGAATATATAGTAAAGTGTAATTTATTCCTGTGATCAAAGCTGAATTTTCAGCATCACCAGTGTCAGTGTCTTCAGTGTCAAATGATCCTTCACAAATCAGTATAATATGAGGATTTGATGCTCAAGAAACATTTATTATTATTATCAATGTTGAAACAGTTGTTGGTCTGTCAGTTGTACAGTTTTTTTTTTTTTTTTTTTGGATTCTTTGATGAATAGGAAGTTCAAAAGACTTTTGTAACATTATAAATGTCTTTACTGTCACTTTCGATCAAATTAATTATTCCTTGATAAATAAAAGTATTGATTTCTTTCCTCCAAAAAATAAAATTCTCACTGACCCCAAACTTTTGAACGGTAGTGTATATTTAGAGGTCAAGCCAGAAATAATGAGTTGTTAAAAAATGCACCAAAGTAAAATTCAATATCAATGTCAAATGCAACAACATCAACTGTTTTCAAACAAATTACCTTACCTATTCCTACAACAAGCATTAAAATGGGTTAAATGATAACTGATTAATACAGTGTTTCTGCTGTTCTGAGGACATGGTTTCATCTTACACCACAGTATGAACGCACTGGATAGAGACAAATAATAGAGATGCAACAGACGTGTCCTCAGGCTGTGTTCTCATTAATAGATGTTCAATCCAGCTGTGCCACATTCTTACAGTGGGACCTCGGTGAATACAGACTTTCTGCCCTTGTTGACAGACCTTGACCAAGTGCCAAAACACTGTTACTTTAAATACAGAGGAGAATAGAAACACGCTTATTGAAAGATGATTCACAGTGGAATAACAAGTGGTAAAGTTAAGTATCATTTAATTGCAATACAATCTCTACACTCACTTTGCTATGTAGATGGACATTTCTGGCTAAAAAAACTAAATAACATTTAAGCCACTAGATGGCAGACTTTTATTCTTTAAAAATCATTTGTTCATTATCCTCACTGGTTGGAAAGTTATGTCATAGCCATTTACAAAAATACTTTCTTATTCCATTTTAACAAATTAATATTATGAATTTTTAAGTTTTGTAAAATTGATTAATAAAGAAAAAAAAATTTCTTTAAAAAATGCTTGGAAAAAAGTTGGCTTTGAGTACGCTTTAAACTAGACTTAATAACATTTACCATAAAAATAAAATTGTATCTTTAGTGTGCTTAAAATACTGTGTTATAAACAGCATCACTGTGATGGAGTGATGGTATGTGCTGGCTCTCAGAATAGATTCAAGCTTATCACCTGTCTGGCAAATTTCTTGCAGCTCTTAGTGGCACGAGTTGGAGACTCCTCTATACTCAAATATATGCTTCAGGTTTGAAATTTACAACTTTGAATTCTGCATCATATGACATAAATGCACTTTGTTCTGAAAGTTGTTCTTCATGTTACATAGCCAACAGAATTATATCATTGAACACTAAAACCTTGGTATGTTTCTCTACTCTCAAAGTTCTTGAACTTTTCCTCTAAAATGGGGCTGAGACTATAATGCTCCTTTAAAATAGTGTTTTTATTTGTTTGTTTTTTGCACACTTTCTTTCTTCTGTGGAACATAATAGAAGATATTTCGAGAGATGTCACACTGCTTTTATTCCATACAATTGATGTCAATGATCAGACCAAAACTGTTTGATTAGTTAGTCCACCCACAAATGAAAACTATGTTATCATTTAATAGGCTGGACAGCTTTTAAGTTGGTATTTCCTGAAAAACTTGACATTCACCCTGTCTTTGGCATGGTTATGAAAGAAGAAGCAACAAATAATTTTTAGACTAATCTTTTTGGTTGATCTAGTTAAAGGGATATTTTACCCCAATATTTAAAATTCTGTCATCATTTACTCACCCTCAAGTTGTTCCAAAACCTGAATGAATTTATTTCTTCTGCTGAACACAAAATAAAGATATTTTAAAGAATGTCGGTATACCAAAGAGTTGATGGGCCCCATTGACTTCCGTAGTCTGTTTGTTTGTTTATTTATTTATTTTTCCATACTATGGAAAACAATGGGGACTATCTGCTGTTTGGTTACCCATACTCTTCCAAATAAAGTAAATTATTACGTGAACTATCCCTTTATCAAAACTGAACAGAATGATTCGTTGTTCACGAATCAAACTTATCCAGTTCTCAAGTTCAACTCACTCAATCCAGTCACATGCAGTGGTCAACAACCTGAAAGTGAACATTATCAGTGAACAATGACTTACATCTTGGTCTGTTCCTCACATAAAGTTATCATATGTGAATAAACAAATATTATTTTTTAGGTGAACAATTACTTTAAAGTCTGTTCCTGTGTAAGCTAACATATTTTTCCTGTTCTATTTAAGAACATTTAAGGAATTTGTTAATTTTACTGGGGTAAAGGGGTGGTTGGTCTGGTCTTATCTACTGGACAAAAGCATTTCAACAAGGTATGAGTAACACTAACCCTAACCCAGTTCATTTCCTTATATAGTCTGCCACTATTCCAGTTCTGATAAGCCTTATCACACTCTCTGACATGTCAGTATAAAAACCCAACAGGGGCTCTTACAACACATTTCCCAGCTTTTCCCATCTCCACTCTCAGCATCGGCATTATGGCACCAAAAAAAGTTGAACCCAAGAAACCAGAGCCTAAAAAACCTGAGCCGAAGAAAGAAGAAGCCCCAGCTCCTGCCCCGGTTCCAGAGACACCCAAAGAGCCCGAGCTGGACCTGAAGAGTCTCCCGCTGGAATTTACCGCTGACCAGATCGAAGAGTTCAAGGATGCCTTTACTCTTTTTGATGAGACGCCAATGGGCGAGATGAAGATAAGGTATTCCCAGTGTGGAGACGTGATGAGGGCCCTGGGTCACAACCCTACCAATGCTGACGTGCTGACCGTGCTGGGGAAGCCCAAGGCTGAAGATATGAACACCAAATACCTGGACTTTGAGACGTTTCTGCCCATGCTGCAGCATATCTCAAGAGCCAAAGACCAGGGGACATTTGAGGACTTTGTTGAGGGTCTGAGAGTCTTTGACAAAGAAGGAAATGGAACAGTGATGGGTGCTGAGCTCCGTCATGTCTTGGCAACACTTGGGGAGAAAATGACAGAAGATGAGGTGGACCGTCTGATGGCCGGACAAGAAGACGCCAACGGCTGCATTAACTACACGTCCTTCATCAAGCACATCCTCTCTGGGTGAGCTGAAGCTGCAAAGATTGCTGAATGAAATTGGAACTCTAAATGGCAACTGTCAAAACACTGGAAAGAAAATATGTCTTGTCTGTATGTCTTGGAAAGCATCAAATAAAAACTATCCAAATTTGTTTCGTCTGAGATTTTTTTTTTGTTCTGTAAATCTTGTTGTTGAGTTGTCAAATTCAGATGTTATAGAGAAGGAAGTTACAGCTTTAACTACTTGTTCTACAGTAGGCTATATACTCTTAAAAATAAAGGAGCCAGCAAAGAGCAAAAAGGAGTTTTGACAAAGATGCCCTTTACAAAGTATTTATTCTTAGTTTTCTAAAAGCAACCTTATGCAACAGTTAGGCCTAACTCGAATTTGATTGGCTGAGCTGCGTTCAAAGAGATGTCAACTCTAACACTGGGATACTGTTTGTATCACTCAGCTTGTCTGTTTTTTTTTTCTTCACGTTTTCTTCACACTTATTTTATTTTTTTCTGTGAATGTGCGAGATTTCTGATACATTAGATGCTATAGGTAAATAACTAGAAGAACAACAAGGTGCAATAAATAGTAAAATCATTCATTCGTCGACTAATTCAACTGCTTTTTGAATGAGTCACTGAATCAAAAAACACTGATTCATTTTGTGAAGTTACCCGCTGTTTCTTGGAGATGCAACGCAGTTGTCGGAGGGAAAACAGTCAAAGTAACTGGCACTGTTGTGTCTAAAAGGTAAGTTAATGAACATTAATATATATTTTTAACCGTTGTATAAAAACAAGATTGCAGTCGCTATCATGCTGCTGTTGTATTACACGGCTGTTTGTTTGTGTTGGCTATCACAACCAAATTCGGAAAACGGCACTGCTTGTGTGATATTGCTTAATTTTTTTTTATATTACTGAGTGTGTGAAGACCTTTTTATAGTCCAAAGAATATTTTTCCACTACAAAGAACCTTTTATGCAATGCTAAGGTTAGCACTTTGAAGTAAAATAAATTATCAAACTTGTGGACTTTATCAGCACATAATGGCTATTCTGATATTGAGTATACTCTTGTGCATAATGGCTATGGTCTATTTGAAGAGCAGCACTGTGTGGTTAATTCTTGAAATTTGTATTTTCTTTCAGATGATTCATATCAAATTTATAAAATGCAGACCATCAGCACACATCCTTAAACAGACACCCTGCTGTTCTGGGCCCTGCATTCAATTTCAATGTAATTAAGTTTAGGACATAGTGACTATAACATTGATTGGCTAAGTAGGGTACATGTTGTACTTGAAGCTGTAGATGAGTGTGTAATACTCTGGGAGGGGGGCGAGTGGGTAATTCCTAACTTTATGAGCGATAAAAAGGCCGATTTTGCAGCTTTGAACCTCAGAAAAATACCTGAGCCATTTTCCTTGCGGTTGTCATGCATCTTGTTCTTGTAAATCCACCTTTTCCCCATTATCAATCATCAATATGCTGTGAAAATAAACACAAGCCGTTCATATTATAACATTATGTTTGGCGGGATTCCTCCACGGTCTTCCCATGTCTGACATTTTTGTGATGTTCTCTGCATAACTACATTCTTCATGATCTATAACTGCATTTATTGAGTAATTTAGATGCTTAGAAGTTTTGCCAAGATTCAAATGCTCGTGAATCCATGAGATTCGCTTTTCGTGCGATTTATATCTGCTTGCAGTTATAATGGCAGCTTACCCAGTAAACCAACCCCCTTTTGCTTACAGCTTTGGCAGCTTGAAGCTCACTGGATTTTCCCCATCTATGCTCAATCAGGAGAGCAAAAACAGAACCGCAGGTAAGTCCAAGGAAGGATGTTATTTCATTGTTTATGAGAGGAGAGTTTGTTTATGGTGACAGGTAATGCCCTGGCAGGCCCGGATGACACCACATCTGTACTTCCCCTCTGTTACATCCCAAACAAACCCAGGAAAAGCAGCCACCCATCAATCAGATACTCATTCCTGTCACCACACACATTATGTCTATCAGGCATGCGTCTTTTTCCATTTTCATATGCCACATCTCTCATGTTAAATATCCTGTGAGTCATTTGGTCTATTCCGCTTCTAGGTGGCCAGTTTTCCAAAGTGTGAGACGAAACCTCAAAGTTTGATTCTTGTTTGTCGAATAGTTTGGATTAAATAGTTTGTCATTTTGACAAGCCTCTCAGATTTGAACAGCAGAGTTTGATTCTCTAGGTTGGACTATAGGCCCAAAAGTGAATCTGTCACACACAAAGGCTGTTTTCTTTGGCTGGACTGAGCTATAACCAGCTTTGTCTCTTTTCATCTATAAGAGACAAAGTATGTTTTATTTTAGAGATGTGTATGGTTGTTTTTATATGTTCTTTCAAGATATAAAGACCACTGACAGAGATAACAGTTTAAGC